GGTTTTACTAACACATGTCAATGTTGCAAAATTGTGCTTAGGCATTAACCGCATGCCGCCCAGCCACTGTACATATACGGCGGCAGGGCGGCACTCACAGGCAAAACCACGTTTTAAGACGTGTGTTTTGTAAACAAATAGGGGGCGCGCCGCCACCCTATTTGTCCCGTGGTTCTCTGCCACAGATGTCAGTCGCCGGGTCACAGCCGCTCCTTAGCGGCTATGTCCCGGCGATCGGCGGCAAACAGTGACAGAGAGCACAGCTGCAGTAGCTGTGCTGTCTGTCACTTCCCTGTCAGCTCGAGGATGAGCTGATCGAGAAAGAACAGTTTTTCTTTCTTGATCAGCCTTGTCCCACCCAGTGCACACCCCCACCCCCTAGTAAAACACTCCCCCTCACTCCTATAACCCTTCCCTGCTAAATAAAGTTAACCCCTTCCTCCCCAGTGCCATTAGTACAGTGTCAGTGTTTTTTTTTTTGCACTGATCACTGTATTAGTGTTTTTGGGGATGTCAGTGACCCCAAGTCAGTACCCCCCAATGTCAGAATGTCTGCCGCAGTCCCGCAGTCCCGCCATAAGTCGCTGATCGCCGCCATTATTAGTATAAAAAAAAACTAAAAATCCCAGTATCTTTCCCGCCATTTGTAAACGCTATAACTTTCACGTAAACCAATTAATTTACACGTATTGGTTTTTTTTTAGCAAATGTCGCAGAATGCATTTTGGCAGAAATTTATGACTAAATTTGATTTTTGCATTTTTTTTTACTGGACATGTTTTATAGCAAAAAGTCCAAAATATTGTTTTTTTTTCCTCAAAATTGTCAGCCTTTTTTTTTATAGCGCAAAAAATAAAAACCGCACAGGCGATCAAATACCACCAAAAGAAAGCTCTATTTGTGTGGAAAAAAGGACGTAAATTTCGTTTGGAAGCAGCATTGCATGACCGCGCAATTATCAGTTGAATTAGTGCAGCGCCGAGTAGCAAAAAGAGGCCTGGTCAGGAAGGGGGTAAATCCTCTGGAGGGCAAGGGGTTAAGATTTGTTTTACCCTCAGGCATGAAGGGGTTAATCATAACAAAGGGAGTGCTCACAGGCTGAAATGCGGGCGCCGTTTATGAACAGCAACCCGCCCCCGCACTGCTCCCGTCCACCCGTTTATGTACATGGGCCGGACGGTAAGTGATTAATGGAAATTTTTGGGAAATATCGTGTGACATAAAAAACTGGAACTACTATTTTATTCTCTAGGGTGTCTGCTTTCAGAAAATATATCATGTTTAGGGGCTTTGTGTAATCTTCAGGCCTAAAATGATTTTTTAAGGGTTCATTTTTTTTTTATAACTTTATTGCTATAACATAGGGGATCAATAGTACCTTTGTGATAGCATTATAGAAATGGCAGGCCCTCTTTAAATGGGTATTAAACCCATCAACAAAAATGTAATATATTGCAGCTTACCAATCATTAGATGGGGTGGCTGCATTAGTTTTCATTTTTTTTTTCTTTTTTCTTTTTTTCATTTTTCCCTGTGTGTTCGCCTGATCATCTGGCCAGTAACACCGTCTGTATTAGTGAGACACAATTATGGAGGAGGGGGGTGTTAGCTGTACTAGCGGATTTAGATACACTAACAAAACGGAAGCCAAACTCCAGCTCACACTTTATAAGCAGTTACAGTAACTTTTTTTTTCCCTTTTGGGATAAAGGTTTTACATAAATAAATAAAAGCTGGCTATTGTAAGCTCCCCTGTCAGTAGTAACTGGTTTGTCTCATCCCTGTAACTGCTACTTCTGTAAGAGAGCTTCGTCTTTTGAAAAAAATACAAGACTTACTGGTAGGATCACCAGATAAAAAAAAGAAAAGAAGCATAAAAAGGAAAAAATTCAGCTGTCACATCTAAGAATTGGTAAGCTGCAGGATAATCAATGCTTGCTGTTGGGTTTAATACAGGTTTAACCCCTCGCCCTCCGGAGGATTTCCCCCCTTCCCGACCAACCCATTGTTTGCGATATGGCGCTGAGTTATTTTAACTGTCAATTGCACGATCATGCAACGCTGCACCCAAATGAAATTTACATCCTTTTTTTCCCACAAATAGAGCTTTCTTTTGGTGGTATTTGATCACCTGTGCATTTTTTACTTTTTGCCCTAAAAAAAGACAATTTTGAAAAAAAACAATATTTTTGACTTTTTGCTATTAAACATGTCCAGTAAAAAAAATGTAAAAATCTAATTTTGTCATAAATTTAGACCAAAATGTATTCTGCTTCATGTCTTTGCTAAAAAAAACCCAATATATGTAAATTAATTGGTTTACCTGAAGGTTATAGTGTTTACAAATGGTGGTATATATACTGGGATTTTTTATTTTTTAAACATTTTTTACTAGTAATGGCGGCCATCAGCGACTTATAGCAGGGCTGGGGCGTAATTTCTGACACTGGGGGGAACTGATTTGGTGTCAATGACATCCCCAGTGACACCAATACAGTAATCGGTGCTAAAAAAAAAAAAACTGACACTGTACTAATGGCGCTGTGGAGGAAGGGGTTAACATGAGGGGCGATCAAAGGGTTAACTGTGTGCTGGGAGCAGGGGCGGACTGACCATTTGGAAACTTGGGCACTGCCCGAGGGCCCGGGGTCAGTAGAGGGCCTCATGAGATGCCCCAGGTACCTTTTTCATAGGCTTTTTTTTGAGTTTGGGCAAGGACACAGGGGCCTCATGATCCTCTATTGCCCGGCGGCCCCATGAGTTGTCAGTCTGCCCCTGGTTGGGAGTGTTTTACTATGGGATGGTGTCTGTGTGCTTCACTGTAATCACACTCCTTTGGATGGCTGTGCTGTGCACAGTATGCCTGAACTGACAAGGAGGAGAACTGTTAGTAAACAAAACAGTTCCCCTCCCCATCGGAGATCGTCAGAAATCACCGGGTGCCGGAGAGTAATAACCGGCCAAGACCCGGTGATTGACAGTCGCGGCCGCGAATGGCGGTGCTGGTAGGGCACATGTGCAACTCGCACGTGTCTCCTACCTGGAAATGCGTGCACCCATGCCGCCCTGTAGCAGTATTTCTGCTATAGGGCGGTGCGGAAGCGGTTAAAGAAAAGACCAGGGGTTTATTAGATTCCTAATGTCACCTATGGACCTCAATGAATGAAATTACAGGGCTGAACCTGGGAGTGGCATAAAGCCTATAGTTTCTGGGTTCATTTCCTTGGAGAGAAGATCAGGGATCGGATATTCAATGAGCAACCCCCATCCTCTCTACCCAGCAACTCCAGCCATGCCAGTCCCATCCCCACAGGTGGGACAGAGGAGCCTGGGCGGGGGCACTACATTCCCCAGATAGGCTTCACCTATCTGGCTTTGGCTTGTGCAAGATGTCTCCTAGTTATAGATCTTGTGGAACTGGACAGACATGGGCTGTTCAATACGTTCAGACTCAAAATTCACATTTTCATTATTCAGAGATTCGGGTGTATCAGAATTTCCGAATGACACTAGTAAGGAATTTCAACGAATCCGAACTTTTCCCAGCTACTACTGATAAATGCTGGAGATGTAAAAGGGAACTGGGAACATTATTGCATATCTTCTGGTCTTGTCCCAAACTGACTGGTTTCTGGCAAGAGGTCCGTAGGTTGACTCAAAAATTCATGGATTATGTATTGAGGGACAACCCAGCTTTTTTCCTTCTACATGCCTCCAACATGCCCACCAAAGTATACAAAAAGTCCATACGCCAACATTTTCTAAAAGCTGCTAAATCTTGCATTCCTCTCACATGGAAAAGTACCCCAACCTCCATCCATCATGGCTCGTGAAAGTGGGGGATTTGAATCCGATGGAGGACTTGGTCTTCACTTCACAACACAAAAGAGAAGTGTATTCCAAAATGTGGAGTTCGTGGAATGTGTTTTTCTATCCCGAGGAGGGTAAAGCCCAGAACTGAGTCCTGCTGAGTGAGATGGCATTGCCATCTTTCCTTCGGATTGAAACTTATTTTACACTTCCCCCCCCCCCACTTTTTGTTTTGTTCTCCCTCCTTTATCTCTCTTCCCTTTATCTCTTCTCTACTCCTTTTCAAGCATGGTTTACTATATCTTGACATTTGGTTTTATGTGCTAATGACTGCTTAGAGCAGTACCCAGGGGCGGACTGACAACTCATGGGGCCCCCGGGCAATAGGGGATCATGGGGCCCCTGGGTCCTTGCCCAAACTCAAAAAAGCCTATGAAAAAGGTACCAGGGGCATCTCATGTGGCCCCCTATTGACCCCGGGCCCTCGGGCAGTGCCCGAGTTTCCAAATGGTCAGTCCGCCCCTGTGCCAGTACCCTTTCTCTCCATTAGGGAGTTACGGATAGATGTCTCTTGGATGCAGGGCTAAGCTATCCCAAGTTGCACATACTGACCCTCATTGGTGAGGTCCTTGTTCAGTACTCTGTATTGTGTTCCTTTCCTTCCAGCATGGGACTTCTGGATGTGAATATTTACCTGACAGTTCTTATTATTATTATTATACAGGATTTATATAGCGCCAATGGTTTGCTCAGCGCTTTACATTATAGTGGGAGACAATACAGCAACAATACAGTTCAATACAAAGGGATATGAGGGCCTGATCCTGGGAGTTTACAATCTAGGAGAATTGGATGTTTTTTGTTCTCCATAGTTAGACTGTACCCAGCCTTAATAGAGTTTTATGTACTGTGTGTATTGGATACTGCCTTATGCTAATCAATTTAAATTAAAAAAAAATTAATAATATTAAAATAATAGAATAAAATAGAATAGAGAAAAAAAGGAATAGAATAGAAAAAAAATAATAGAATAGAATGAATATAACAGTCTTCTGAAATTCAAATAGAATAGAACCAGCTATTCATAGTTGTAAGTCTTAAATGGTAAGTTCGGGCAATTTACTGACCTTGGCACTCTGAATCCGCTGAGGGGCATCTGGCTTAAAATTCACTGAACACGCCATACTTCCAGATCGGTCCACAAGGAAAATAAACTCGCCACAATTGGATTGCTCCTGTCCAGCTGGGAGACTTGGGTAGAAATTCAACATGGCCACTGACTCCGCCATAATGGACCCTACAGAACAGAGGGAGAAAATAGAATTGTTACAAAGAGACACACATTCATTTCACTCCAGCATATTAACCCCTCACCTACCGGGCACTTCTACCCCCTTCCTGCCTACAGGACACTTCTACCCCTTCCTGCCTACCGGGCACTTCTACCCCCTTCCTGCCTACAGGACACTTCTACCCCCTTCCTGCCTACAGGACACTTCTACCCCCTTCCTGCCTACCGGGCACTTATACCCCCTTCCTGCCCACCGGGCACTTCTACCCCCTTCCTGCCTACAGGGCACTTCTACCCCCTTCCTGCCTACAGGGCGCTTCTACCCCCTTCCTGCCTACCGGGCACTTCTACCCCCTTCCTGCCCAGGCCAATTTTCAGCTTTCAGCGCTATCACACTTTGAATTACAATTGCACGGTCATGCAACACTGTACCCATATGACATTTTTATTTATTTTTTTTGAGACAGATAGAGCTTTATTTTGGTAGTATTTATTAACCACTGTTTTTTTTATTATTTGCTAAACAAACCAAAAACAACTGAAAATTTTTAAAATAAAAGTTTTTTCTTAGTTTCTGTTATAAAATTTAGTAAATAAGTGATTTTTCTCCTTCACTGATGTGCGCTAATGAGGCTGCAGTGATGGGCACTGATAGGCTTCAGTGATGGGCACTGATAGGCTGCACTGATGGGCCCTGATAGGCTGCACATATGGGCACTGACGAAGAGGCCCTGGTAGGTGGCACTGATGGGCACTGACAGGCATCACTGATGGGCACAGAAAGGCAAACTGATCGGTGGCACTGATAGGCAGCACTGACTGGCACTGATAGGCAGCACTGACTGGCATTGTTAAGCAGCACTGATAGGCGGCACTGACAGCACTGAAAGGCAGCACTGACTGGTACTGATAGGTGGCACTGACTGGCATTGATAGGCGGCACTGAAAGGCAGCTCAGATGGGCACTGATATGTGGCATTGATGTGCACTGGTAGGCACTGGCAGGTGGCATTGATAGGCAATCATATGATATCCTCCCAGAACGAGAGAACCGCCTTGTGCCCGTCATTCCCTTTTATGGTGGGCGGGAGGTGGTTAAACACAGCTTTTACAGAGGCCACTGAACTATTTTAATGGCCTTAACCACGGTCATGGATTATTATTGGTACAGTGCCTTGAATTGTGTGGGAGCAGGGCACATTACAGTGCCTTCAAAAAGTATTCATACCCAGGGGCAGACTGACAACTCATGGGGCCCCCGGGCAATAGGGGATCATGGGGCCCCTGTGTCCTTGCCCAAACTCAAAACTTTTGTTACTCTGTAATATTTAATTTATGTAACCTATAGCAGTCTGTTTCTTGTACTTCTTACTATATAATTTTGCCATCCAGGGAGGAAGTTGAGAAAAAAGGAAATTTGGTATTAGGGTAGAAGAGACTGATGAGACAATGGAGGGGGCATAGATGGAAGTATAGGAGAACAGATCACACATACAGATAATACTTGTGGACTACCAGTCAATAATCCTCCACATCATCCAAAAATAGTTCAAGTGTTGCCAATAATGACTAAACATCCCAGGTGCGTGAAACAGAAATAAAGGTTCTCCCTAGGGGTTATTGTTTATGGGTGGAAAGCAATCAGGTTTTAAAGTAGGGGTCTCTAAACTTTCCAAAATAGGGCTATTTTACTGTTCTCCAGACTTTAGCGGGGCTGGGTCATGGCCAGTGGGAGTAGAAAATGTTCTGGTGTCAGTGGGAGTAACAACACCCCCTTGCTGGTGTCAGTGGGAGGAATTGTGCCCCATCTGCCGGATCAAACTGCACATATACCTGGGGAATAAGTGGAGTAATTCATTTGCAGAAGCCCATTCAAGATCACAGGTCCATTCCAGTACACAGAGAGGGGATCTCCTGTATATCCAGGAAGCTACACCCACCAAACCCTATAGGGGACCTCTGGCTGACTTGGATCACCGTAAAGCCTTGGAATTATCTGGTGTGCCACTTACCCTACAGAGGGAGGATTACCTACCACCCTGGTCTACCCTGGTCTCCTTGAGAGGACATCTTGATCTATATGTTTATGCGCATTTATGTTGCGCATCTGGTGAGTGCGCAATTTTACTATAACCATTTGTACAAGCACATTAATACCTTTGAAGCAGGCACCTTCAGAGCACTATTGTCACTTTTGGAACATTTCTATATATATTTTATAATCATTTGTCCATGAACTTCATCTACTTCATCGTTAAGGCACCTTAAAAGATATATATATATATATATATAATTTTTTAGCGCTGCACTGTGTTTTATTATTATTTTGTTTTAAGGGTAGAAGAGACTGATGAGACAATGGAGGGGGCATAGATGGAAGTATAGGAGAATAGATCACATATACAGATAATACTTGTGGACTACCAGTCAATAAACCTCCCAGGGGCAGACTGACAACTCATGGGGCCCCCGGGCAATAGGGGATCATGGGGGCCCCTGTGTCCTTGCCCATACTCAAAAAATCCTATGAAAAAGGTACCAGGCAGGGGTGGACTGACAACTCATGGGGCCCCCAGGCAATAGGTGATCATGGAGCCCCTGTGTCCTTGACCAAACTCAAAAAAGCCTATGAAAAAGGTACCAGGGGCATCTCATGGGGCCCCCTACTGACCCTGGGCCCTCGGGCAGTGCCTGAGTTTCCAAATGGTCAGTCCTCCCCTGAAACCTCCACATCCTCCAAAAATAGTTCATGTTTTGCCAATAATGACTAGATGTCCCAGGTATGTGAAACAGAAATAAAGGTTCCCCCTAGGGCTTATACTTTATGGGTGGAAAGCAATCTGGTTTTAAAGTAGGGGTCTCTAAACTTTCTAAAATAGGGCTATTTTACTGTTCTCCAGACTTTAGCGGGGCTGGGTCATGGCCAGTGGGAGTAGAAAATGTTCAGGTATCAGTGGGAGTAACAACACCCCCCCTTGCTGGTGTCAGTGGGAGGAATTGTGCCCCATCATTGATGTTAGTGGCAGGAATTATGCCCCATTGTTGGTGTCAGTGGATGGCATAGTGTCCCACAGGCCAGATAAAGGCAAACAAGGTCCTGCACAGGGGCGGACTGACAACTCATGGGGCCCCCGGGCAATAGGGGATCATGGGGCCCCAGTGTCCTCACCCACACCCAAAAAAGCCTATGAAAGGTACCAGGGGCATCTCATGGGGCCCCCTACTGACCCCAGGCCCTCGGGCAGTGCCAAAGTTTCCAAATAGTCAGTCCGCCCCTGGTCCTGCATCTACCCAAAGAACCCCCAGTGGGACTTTAATGTAGCAATAGGATCATACATATATTGAAAAAGACATTTGGTTAAAAAAGATCATCAACTTTATTACATACACATTTCCATTGTAATGTTAAATACATGATTTCTAAAAAGAATATTGCTCTGACAGTGTTCTTACAAGAAAACTCTTAATACAAAAATATGAAACCACACAGAAAAAGAAAAAAACCTGACGCGTTTCGATCATTCCATATTCTAGATCTTCCTCATGAGGCATGAAAGACAAAGGACTTTCTAATAAATAAATAAACAATCATAAATGAATATACCAAAAATAAATAAACAGATAACCCAAAAAATGTTTTCACATAACCAAAGAATGTTTTACTTACAAAAGCATATGTCAAAGCAAAAGAAAGGATGACTTCCAGGATGAGAGGTTGGACACCATGCTCTGGTGGGGGTTCATCATCCAAGAGGGAAAGAGTGATCAGATGTAAGTCACCAGACAAGGACTGACAGAGGGGCTCCAGAACATCCCCCCAATGGGACTAAAGATGCAAGGTCCTGCAGCCGACCCTCAGGTTGCTATTTGGAGAGCACTGTTTTGGAACATCTTGAAGTCAAGCATCTGCTTGCAAAAAGAGAAGCTTGTAGACACGTTGCCTACAGAATATTAGTGAAGGTAGTTGGCTGGCCCAAGCTGGGGAAGGGGTTGATGCTCTGCACCTCAGTTCCCAGGATTTTTGGACCAAGTCTATCCGCCCTGTAATATAAATAAGGAGGGAGGCCAGGTTCTGGAGCTTTGGCCCACTCAGGAAGATGACGTGATTGCGACAGAGGACCAGAAGGGAGGACTGCTGAGTCAGCAGTCCACTGCAAGGCACAGGGAGTCCGGAGAACTACCAGGTCTTGAATGATGCCATTTATGGACTATTACCTTACAGAGGTATGTCTGGGCAGCCTAATTGAGTCAATTAGGCAATGTTGCACGTTGAACTGTACCCCAAAATGTAAAGTTGCATCAACTCTTAAAGTGATGTATGGAGGTTTCTGGCGTATGAAAGGAGGTTTCTGGCGTCAGTAAAGCACATGTGGTGCAAGAAACAAAGCACTACAGAAGAACTACTCACAGAGAAGCAGGAGGGACAGTTGCTATGGGTAACCAAGAACTAGAAGAAGGTACATTGCAACCAGTCATAAAGTGTGGTACCTTATGTAGGTGATGAGTTCTCCAATAGTGAGGAGGTCACTGACCTGGCTCCCTCCCCATGAAAAAGAGAGGAAGGCGCCTTCTTTTCTTTTTCATTTTTACTGCATTAGACCCTTGCTTCCCCTCTAAAAAGAGCTGCCTCAGTGTTAGTGCTCCCATCCATCCATCCATCCATCCCTGATATCCATCTGGCACCTTGATCCTACAGCTACAGAGATTGGGCTCTAACAAGTGCACCCTATATAATATACATTTTCTGGTTCCCTCCCTAGCAGTCAGTTTCCCTACCCAACCAAACCCGTTTTATGGAGACCCATAGCCTGGCCACATGGTACGGGAGAGAAGGATTTGATAAATGCACACATGAGGTCCACACTAAGTGCACAGAGGGACCCCATTCTGTCATGGGGAGTGAGGTGACATAGGTATGCTGGACTGGTGGAGAGGGCACAGGTCCAGCAGTGTCCCTCCTAATCAAAACGATGTACGGGTACATCGCTGGAGCTGAAGTGGTTTAT